GCTTCACAAGCTTTGGGGCAGGAACTCGGCCCCGCACATGTTGGCGGCGCCGACCGGGTGGCAGACCGTTAGCCTCGTACTCGGCCATGGTCATCGTACGCCACGACCCTCTGGAAAGTGCCACCAAGGACTGCGCAAACTGCTGAAAGTGTCGGTCCTGGCCATCTTCCTGCTGCTCGATGGCAAGGACAATGTCGGTGTCAATGCTGCGGGCATGGCACATGAACTTGTTCAGGGGTTGGCCTGCAAGGTGTTCGGTCCACATCTCCCTGGACACGACAGGCAGCCACACAGCACGCCAGCATGTTGAACCGCCTCCTGCCATATGTGAGACCCTGGTTTCAAATCAAAAGCTAGTCAGACTTTTCAAGTTAAAGTTGGACAGCATGACTGTGTGCAACCATGGCACGCGTTGAAGCCACTGAATGGACGCTTCGATCCCAGTGCATCCAGAGAATCCACCACAACCAGGTGGCTTTGCGCAGTGAAGGTTAAGAAGTCACCACCATCCAAACGGCGAGAGCGCAGCTCAGGCGATGCCTCCGAAGGCGTTGCAAACTCTGTTTCAATTCTGTCCTGGCAGGCATCAACCACCTTCCAGCGTCTTATTCCAGCGAGGTATCGGGCCATGTTCGAGTTGAAGTTGGCGTCATCACCACGCCGCGAAATAACAATTGCTTTCCGCAGTTGCGCTTGGGGGAAGGCCTTGGCGTTCTGACGCCTGTTGTCGATGATGGCCTGGTTGTTCCTCTTTATGAGGGCTGTCCGTTGGGCAAAATTCAGCAGGCCCCTGCTGTTCTCCAAATTCGGTCCCGAAGAAGGAGACGTTGCTGCAGCTACCTGGCTGTGATCCAAGCCTGGCAGGACAGTCGGCCCAGCTGGATTTGTAGCGGAGTCGCCTCGACGCCGGAGCGCTCGACTTTGCCGAGATCGGACCGATGCATCTGTTCCTGGCTTCGGCTCTTGCTTGGGCCGGCAGCCCATCCTCTTTTCATACACTCTGAAGCGGCATCCATGCTGCAGA